ATAACAATAATTTCAAATAACAATAATTTCAAATAACAATAATCTTAAAATTATCAATCGGTCGGTGTTAAACGTAAGTCGCCCCCTTTTATTCAAGTTAAAGACGTTTTTAACAGTAAAGAAGCCTCGAAGCACTGTTCTGTTGTTAAGCATTTTGGAAGTGGCGTTGTTTGTATTTTTACTCGCCACACGGGCTCGTACGGCACAACTCGCAAAAATGCTCACCGATACCACACACCAAAACGTCTAATAAAATGTATTTATCCACGTTTTCATACTCGTTTTAAAGGTCATCATGTAAAAGACTTGTGGATCAAGTGCGTCACTTTTCTTTGAAAAATTGTTTGCTAAACATACAAGCAGAAATTAAAAGCATTTCACAAAGACTTATCAAGAAAACGTGACGTTGTAAAATTGCATGAAAACGTTCGCCTTTGACAATCTCTCTTGACATACGACCGATTGATTACATGACCTGAATACTTGTCAATGTATTTCATTTTTAGTCGAACGAAGATCTTCCTTAACGAGCATCTCCAAGATAAGTTTTCATGGAATAAAAAAGTGTTGGAAATGTTATATCATTGTTACCTACGCTACCAAATGTGAAAAATTTTCCAAATGTAAACGGGAAAATTATAAGTATATATATCAATGAATCTTATATCGGTTTGACTATTTAAGGTGATGATCAATTCCCCGCTAAATTAAACACAGCTCATGAGGAAGTTGCACATATGCAAATCGACTGTCGCTGACGAAAAGTCAGGCAATTCAGGAATTTTTTTTCCAGCATTTATCGTTTCAAAGTTATCACGTAATTCATCAACAAGAGCTTAATACTCTAAAACATTGAAGAGAACATACATTGAAAAACACAGCAAAATTGAGGAGGAAAATGATAATTTTTTACTCTATGTCATTAAAATGTACAACTCAAGCTCATAGCTATTAGAACCAGATGTTTCTAGGACTAAAATACATGCCAGCCTAAATGATTAATTTGAGAAAAACATTTTCTCCAGTAAACTACGGCCTCAAAATAATCAATGTGTGGTCTTATCCACAAGACTTCTCTTAAACAGGTGACTTATCTTTGTTTCATCGGAAGCTTTTTAACTGAATAGCAATAAAGATAAGAATTGACATGTCACGAATAGATTCTGAACCGGAAGTCCTCGGGATCTAAGGAAAGTTTTGAGAATATTCATCAGTTCATTAGCTAACGTTTTTCTTGCGTCGGAACTATTCTGCTGTTAAATAACGACGCCTTTTGAAGAGAAGCCTTCCGCATTCGTGTTTTATATCTCTTTTGAAGAAAGCGTAAACTTTAGGGTTTATTCCGGAGTTAATAACTTTTAGAGTTTTTTTGTAATAAAAATCGTTACAACATTTACGACCAGTGAAAAATAATGAACCTCAAGGCAAGAATATTCCGTAACACAATAGAAACACATGTGTTCTGAGTTTGAACTCTAACGAAACGATAATTAAAATTCAACTGCCTGGCTACAAGGCCATCCCTAGAGTTCAGATTGTAAATAAAAAGAAACATGGATGGAAGAAAAAAGATTAGCATTAGGCACAAGATTGTCTCGAAGAGTAAACACAAATAGCCGACGATGGTCATGGCATGTTCGAATGAATTGAGTCTAACTGACAATAAAGAAAAAGCAAGAGTTAAAAGAAAAGGAATTCCCCAAGATGTAAAAATCATCTGAATGACTCTGCGGCGCTTCATAAAAGTCAAGTATTTCAAAGGTTTCACCATGGCAATGTAACTATTTACAACCATCGTGAGGATGCAGAGGAACCAGCCGAAGATACAAAACCACAATTTCTTTGAATTTCTTGTTAAAGAAAATTTTTATGCAAAAAACGTTTTAGGCAAAAACGTTTTAGGCAAAAAAAGAATTGTTTATATAAAGGGTTTTATAAAACCATCTCGCTCCTATCAACCTTTAAAAAGTTACCAAGGACAATGGATAATGTTTAATTTAGTAGCATTCAAGGCTGCAAACATTTATCATCTTAGAACGTTCAGTCAGACGCCTCCTGAAAAAAAAGTTTGACGCCTGTCATTGGTTTTCAAAAAGAATGGACCAATCAGAAATTGAAAACAAGAGCGGAATATTTTTTACTTCATCATCTGATGTGTTTCATTTCTCAAAACAACAGCAGAGTGCAGATAAGATGTGAAATAGTGAAAATTAGCCTCTATTTGGCCGAGAACAACAAATATTTCAAATGACAATAATTTCAAGCGAGAATCGCCCCTTTCAATATCAAATGAGTGACGTTAACAAATATAGAAGCCTCGAAGCTTTGTTCTGTTGTAAAGCAGCGGAAAGCAGCCGTAACACAAAAAGAAACGTAGAGGGAAACATGAGACGTAATCGAGAACTTTCTCTACTCTTTGGCGCTTGGCATGTCTACAAACCTCTCATTTGCCTTTCCTGTTACTACTTGCCGTGTCAGTACAGGGCTGTGTGCGCACTCTGATTGCGTTGCATCATGGTCATAAAACGAAAAGTGAGTCATTTGCATCCTGTCGCGGTCGAGTGAACATCTCTGGTAGCAGCAAGATAGCGTGAATAAACGTGGAATGTAATGAGGATTCACTGTCTGTTGCCGTTCCTTCGAAAGTTAAAGTGTTTGCAGGCCTGCGCGACTCCTGTTATTCCTCCGTGACAAATTCGTTGTTAGGAGGCAACTGAAGAAATTCAGAAAGAATCAAAACTGCAGCCTTGCCCAAGAATCTATTTATTTGGCAACAGTCACACTCACAGCCGATGGCTGTTTGAATAATATCAACTTCGCGAGTTATTTAACAGGGATTCGACCCTTAACATGCAAACGTATCACAAAGAGACAGCGACCTTCTAATACACAAACTATTTTTTTATGTCTTGCACTTTAAGGCGTAAATACGGGATTCGCGAAAGGAGAAGCCCGAATTCGTCACGCTTAACGTTTAAAAAAAAACGTACAGATTTTCAAATGTGCTTAAAAGAATAGGGAATACTCAGAATAAGGTTTTGAAAACCGTATCTCTGAAGTTATCTTCCGCGGGAGAGACAGTACGTACTTGAAAATAGAGAAAATAGGGCGCACACATGAAATTATTACTTTTTGTAACACAATCTCATTCGGCTTTACCAGTCTCAAATTACATACTAAAAACACAGCGATTGCATTTGTCCTTGAGAACAATTAGATTCTAGAAATCGAATTTATTTTCTTGTTTGTGATTTTCTTTCGTTTTCGACTGTGGTTAGTTTTGAATTGCACACATTCACTTAATCAAGGTTCGAGCATTCAATGCAGACCAAACTTAAAAGCATGGATAGCTAATTCGTTATCAAAAAGGTAATAGTAACTAACCTGGTAAGAAAGAATCTTGCTTTTCTTCTATTTAACAAATAGAGACGCCTTGACTGTGCTCTGTTCTGTTGTAAAGCACGAAAGAAGTGTAGGGGGGGAAACACGAGACGAGACGAGACGTAGTCGAGTAGTCTTTTCCCCAAGAATTACTTTCAATTTTCAAAACAAACTTTATTTCCAAAGCGAACAGCAGTGTCGTCAGCATGCTCTTTACTCTCATAAAGCACGCTACAATAAGCCAATCAGAATCCCTGTTAGAATGGTTCAAATAATCTGATTGGTTGTCAAAAATGTCAAACCATCAAAGTTCAAAAACCATCAAAGTTCATATTCTGCAATAGTTTACAAACTAAAATAGTACTACATTTCGAATTTAACACTTTTGCCTGAAGTTTTTTAGTATCTGAAGAACAGAATCTGAAAGTGAAATGTTTAGTGAAATTCGACCCAATGGCGGCAACATGAAGAGAAGAAAACAAACTGTTCAAGGCGAGTGTTTTATGAATGAACGACAGCCGAATTCACCAGGACATGAAGATCGCTCGGAATGACAGCGCTGTAAACCTAGGCTGCAGTGACTGATGTGGCCTTCCACTCAACGCATCGGAAAGGTTATCAGAGCAAGCTCTTATTTTTCCACCCAAAGGCTAGGGTAGTCGATTTAGTTCCTGAGGCTTGCTCCACTACGATGACCGAAGATCGCCATGATGAGCTAGCCGCGATAGACCTCAGCACGATCGCAGTCGCTCTGACATCGTCATATTTAGTATGAATTTTAACAGTTATGTCAGGTTATATTTTTCATCATTCCTGTTTTTTTCTGTTTTGTTTTTGAACACGAAACCTTATATACTATACAAGTGTTAGCTGTGTTTGATTTTTATTACCGTAAACTTGCAATCTAACTGAGCGCGAAAACCTTTAAAACTCGGACTGTCCATTTTGGTTTATCTTTGAGGATTTTTGTCTCTGCTCACGTTACAGTAACGTAAATTACTGCGCCTGGCATTTTTGAAAACCTTTGCTCGCTTGTTCCGAAATTTCGCTTTCAATTAACGAGAGAAAAGCTAGAAAGAAGTCCCGGAAAAGGTCGGACATAATACAGTTTGGCAGATGGCGTAGCAGCTTTAGCTCAGCCTTATGCTCTATACTCTCATAGAGCACGCTCTTTCAACCAATGACAGCACGCGTTATATCCAAAATTTATTATAATTCCTTTTATTTCTTGACTTCCAGATTTTTTCGTGTATGCTTGACACCCCTCTAAAGAAAAATAAACTGTTAATATGCGCATGCCTATCGTTTGATGACTACTCTTTGTGAATGCAAATCATTATTTTCCTTATCAAAACGCTCAATTATGGTGATCACATTTTATATTGACATATAAATACAGATACTCTTAATCACTTACTCTTTGTCGGATCTCAGGTCCCAGAATTTTCATTTGTTTCCTTGAAAACAGAGCTACCTTAAATAATCTGAAAAATAAGATGGCTCTGATCTCCATGTACTGTATTTCTTCGAACAACCCCCCTCACCCGGATAAGCGCCCTTTCCCTGGGCCAGCATATTAAACAACCACCCCCCTTCCCCTCCTCGAATAAGCGCCCTCCTCTTGCCTAACTTCCTTCCTTAGACAGTAAGGATGCAAGGAAAACCTGTTGCTATTGGCACTTAATTTGTAACTTTTTAAACTTTACCTAAAGCTAAATCAGAACAGGTTGATAGTTCGTTAATAAGAACCCCTTTTATTAAGCGCCTTTCTTCCGATGAGAAAGCGCCCAGAAATCGTAGCATGCTAATTGCAATTATATATATATGAAAAAGGGGGTCATCGAGCAAACAAAGGTAAAAGTGAGGCTGTAGCGTTACTATGGTAACCATTTATGTCATGACAGAAAAAAATTGCCTTAAAACGTTACGAATAATTTGATAATCATATTTTGACACCATTTTAAAAGGAACGTGATAAGTGTTTGTATCGATTTTAGTTCTTAAGCTCTTTCCTCGTGCAAGACTGATTGCAAATTCATGAATTTTATTCTTTGAAAATGATTTGTAATTCAAATGAGTTTTCCAACTTTGAACGACGGGCTGAATACTAACGACAAGCTTTTCGGTTAGTTTTGTGCGATCGTGAGCAATAGTTGGCTTTTTTTAAGACTTAGTAGACTCTAATAAAGAGGTGAAAATATCGCGGCAACCATAGCAATACCACAACTATTGCATGTAGATAACTCAGTTATTGAAATCCTTGTCCAGATTCAAATTAGACTTGGAAACAGCGCACGAACAGTAGCCTTGCGAACAGCCACAGCTAAATTCAAAATTGTCTCATATTAACTATCAGCTCGCTCGAACTTCCTAGAATCGCGATTTTTTTTTTGATTCCCTTGCAATTTCGAAAAAAAATTGACTCTAAGAGACCGGTCGTCATTTATCCCCCGGTAGGGGGAGGAAGAGGAGGCTGGACGATACAGACGGCTACAATGGTCATAAGCGATACTAAAAACATGACGATTGCCCCGCGAAAGGTTGCCTCGCAAAATATTCGTTAATAGATCAATAATAAAACTAGGCAAGACATTGCTTTAGGTCAAGTTTTCACAGGGATTGTTGAGGGTCGAAAGTCCCCGAAGCACGACCTCTATCTAGGAACTGACGGATACTATGAAAACAAAATGTTGCTTACAGCTCCTTGTCAACGTTAAGATTCTAAACATATTTTGTATGGTGTCGTCGGATTGAACTACATGTGGTTCAAGCGATCTGGTACAAAACTGGACACATCAATTGACAACGAATGTGATATGTTTTTACTCTTCTTATTTTATTATGCAAGGCAAACTCGTAATTTTAAGAACCAGATGTTTCTTACATCAAAATACAAGTCAGCTTCAATAGAAAAAATATTACTCCAGAGTAAATTTTACTGCAAATTAAAGTCAAGTATTTCAAAGCATGGAGTGCATTCGGTTGTAACCAGCCGAGAACCCAAAACCACGTTTCCATTGAATTTCTTTTTAATGGCTGTCCTTAACTACTCTGTTGTTCTTGCGTCGGAACTATTCTGTTGATTATTAACGACGCCTTTTGAAGAGAAGCCTTTTGCATTCTTGTTGTATATCTCTTTTAAAGAAAGCATAAGCTATAGGGTTTATTCCAGAGTTAATAACTTGTAGAGGTATTTTGTAATGAAAATCGTTACATGATTGACCAGTTAAAAATAATAAACTACAACGCATCATTATTCCGTAACATGATAGAAACACACACGTTATCAAAGCCACCCATTTTACCGCTGACGCCTTGTTTTGAGTTTTAGCTCTAGCGACCACATGATTAAACGGCAATTTCTTCGCTAAAGTGCGATCTCTAGAGTAAATGACAAAAAACATGGATGCAAGAAAAAAGATTAGAATTACGCACAAGATTATCTCGAAAAGCAAATACAAGTAGCCGAGTATAGTCCTGGCAAGATCGTTTCCACTAAGTCTAATCGACACTAAAGTAAGAGTGAACTGAAGAGAAGGAATTCCCCAAGATGTTAGAACCATTTGAATCACTCGACGGCGCGTCATAAAAGTCAAGTATTTCAAAGGTTTCACAACAGCAACATAACGTTCTAGTACCAAACTAAACAAATTTGTTCCAGAGATGCAAAGAATGAATATCCTTACATGTGTCACAATTAATCCCTCTTTTGAGCGTAGAGTGCATTCGGTTGCAAGGCTGCAGAAAAAGCGTGAAGGAACAGCAAGTATCCCGACACCAAAATCAGCCACTGCTAAAGACACGATGAATGTGTTGGTTTTGGTGCGAAGCTGACGTTTACTGCAGACGAGGAAGATGACAAATCCATTTACAACCATCGTGAGAATACTGAGGAACCAGCCGAGAACCCAAAACCACGTTTCCATTGAATTTCTTCTAAATGGCTGTTTAGGACTTTTCAATTTGTTTCTTCGGTCAAGCCAAGAGTGTTTTGAAAGGTTTTAAGGATGAAAAATGTAATTGTGTTTATATAGAGTTTTTAATCAACCATCTGGCCCCATCCAACCTACGTACAAGTTAATATGGCAATATATGCTGTTTAATTAAGTCATATTCAAGGCTGCAAACATCCATCACTCAACAACGTTCTTGTCAGACGCTTCGTGCGCGGAGTTCGACGTCTGTTTATTAGTTTTCAAAAAGAAGGAACCAATTGCAATCAGAAATTGATAACAAACGCGGAACTTCTTTTTACTTCATCTTCTAATGTGTTTTAATTAAAATAAAATTTACGGCAGTCCTTTTTTTAGACTATCAGTACAGCATAATAGTGCAAATAAGATGCGAATTAACGAAACTTAGCCAACAACAAATATTTCAAATAACAATAATTTCAAAATTATCGATCGGTCAGTGTTAAGCGTAAATCGCCCCCTTTTATTATCAAGTAAAAGACGTTTTCAACGAATAAAGAGGCCTCGAAGCACTGTTCTGTTGTAAAGCATTTCGGAAGCGGCGTTGTATGTATTTTTACTCGCCAGACGGGCTCGTCAAAATACGGCACAACTCGCAAAAATACTCAGCGATACTACACACCAAAAAGTCTAATAAGATGTATTTATCTACAGCTTTCTCTGCGTCAGTTGCAACCAAATAACTCGTTTTCATACTCGTTTTAAAGGTCATCGTGTGCAAGACTTGTGGGTTACGTGAGTCACTTTTCTTTAGAAAATTGTTTGCTAAACACACAAGCAGAAATTAAAAGCATTTCACAAAGACTTATCGAGAATACGTAATGTTATAAAATTTCCTGAAGGCGTTTGCCTTTGACAATCTCTCTTGACATACGACCGATGGATTACATGACTTGAATACTTGTCAAGTATTTAATTTTAAGTCGCACGAAGATCTTCCTTAACGAGCATCTCTAAGATGAGTTCTCATGTAGTAAAAAAGTGTTGGAAATGTTATATCATTGTTACCTACGCTACCAAATGTGAAAAATTTTCCCGAATGAAAACGGGGAAATTATAAGTATATATATCAATGAATCTTATATCGGTATTGACTATTTAAGGTGATGATCAGTTCCCCGCTAAATTAAACACAGCTCATGAGGAAGTTGCACTTATGCAAATCGACTGTCGTTGACGAAAAGTCAGGCAATTCAGGAATTTTTTTTCCAGCATTTATCGTTTCAAAGTTATCATGTAATTCAACAACAAGAGCTTAATACTCTAAAACATTGAAGAGAACATACATTGAAAAACACAGCAAAATTGAGGAGAAAATGATATTTTTTTACTCTATGTCTTTAAAATATACAACGCAAGCTCATAGTTATAAGAACCACGTGTTTCTAGGACTAAAATACATGCCAGCCCAAATGATTAATTTGAGAAAAACATTTTCTCCAGTAAATTACGGCCTCAAAATAAACAATATGTGGTCTTAAATATTTTAGACATATGTCATATCAACACTACTTCTCTTAAACAGACTTATCTTTGTTTCATCGGAAGTTTTTTAACTGAACAGCAGTTTAGATAAGAATTAATATGTCACGAATAGATTCTGAACCGGAAGTCCTCAGGATTTAGGAAAGTTTTAAGTATATGCATCAGCTAATGTTTTTCTTGCGTCCGAACTACTCTGTTTTTAAATAACGACGCCTTTTGAAGAGAAGCCTTCCGCATTCTTGCTTTATATCTCTTTTGAAGAAAGCATAAACTTTACGGTATAGGCCGGAGTTAATAACTTGTTGAGTTATTTTGCAATAAAAATCGTAACTACATTTATGACCAGCTAAAAAAATAATAAACTACAACGCAAGAATATTCCGTAACACAATAGAAACACACACGTTACCAAAACCACCCATTTTACAGCTGATTTGTTCTGAGTTTGAACTTTAAGGATCCGATGATAAAAATTAAATTGCCTGGCTACAGAGCACTCCCTAGAGTTCAGATTGAACAAGAAATATGGATGTAAGAAAAAAGATTAGCATTAGGCACAAGATTATCTCGAAGAGCAAACGCAAATAGCCGACGATAGTCATCGCATGCTCGAATGCACTGAGTCTAATTGACAATAAAGAAAAAGTAAGAGTGAAAAGAAAAGGAATCCCCTAAGATGTAAAAACCATTTGAATGACTCGGCGGCGCTTCATAAAAGTCAAGTATTTCAAAGGTTTCACCGCGGCAATGCGTTTATTTACAACTATCGTGAGGATGGAGAGGAACCAGCCGAAGATCCAAAATCACAATTTCATTTAATTTCTTGTTTAAGAAAATTTTAAGCAAACACGTTTTAGGCAAAAAGAATTGTTTATATAAGGGTTTTATAAAACCTTCTCCCTCCCATCAGCTCTTAAAATTTACTTAGGACAATGGATAATGTTTATTTAAGTCGCATTCGAGGCTGCAAATATTTATCATCTTAGAATGTTCTGTCAGACGCCTTCTGCACAGAATTTGACGCTAGTCATTGGTTTCAAAAAAGGATGGACCAATCAGAAATTGAAAACTTAAGCGAAATATTTTTTTACTTCATCATCTGATGTGTTTCATTTCTCAAAACTACAGCAGAGTGTAGATAAGATGCGAAGTAGTGAAAATTAGCCTCTATTTGGCCGAGAACAACAAATATTTCAAATGGCAATAATTTCAAGCGTGAATCGCCCCCTTTTAACATCAAAGGAGTGACGTTAACAAATAAAGAAGCTTTGTTTTGTTGTAAAGCAGCAGCAAGCAGCTGGAGCACAAAACAAATGTAGGGGGGAACACGAGACGTAATCAAGTGCTTTCTCTACTTTTGGCGCTTAGCATGCTTACAAACCTCTCATTTGCCTTTCCTGTTACTATTTGCCGGGTCGGTGTGTATTCGTTCGTAACTTGATCCGAAATTTCACTCTCTATCTGCGTATAATAATATACATGAAAAAATTACGCGCGTCTGATTGGCTGAAAACGAGTCCATTTTTCATGTAATACGAGTGCAAAGTTGTAACACGAATGCAATTTTGTTGTCTTTACTTGTGCTTATTAACACCAAATTGCACTCGAAATCATGTTGTTACCTATACGAAAAATATACACGAAAAATTTACGCCCTTCTGATTGGCTGAAACCGAGTGCATTTGTCATGTAACACAGGTGCAAAGCTGGAACATGAATACAAATTATAAATAGCGCGCACGGTGTCAAAATTTCGTTTGCCTTGCCTTTGAGAGATGCCTTTTTCATGTATTTTATTACTAAGCAACAACATGATTTCTAGTGCAATTTTTGTAAAGGGGCACTTGAAAAATTTTCAAAGACTACAAATTGCACTCGCAATTTGCAACGGGCTTGTGAAATATTTGGTCTTTGATAAAGTTACTCGATTTTAACACCAAATTTCACTCAACATCATGTCAGTACAAATTTGTGCTGCTACCTACAGGTTGCTCGGTGTCATTTAAGGCTAAGAGCTTGTTTCCATATTCGTTTTAAACGTCATGCAAGACGTGTGGGTTAGGTGCGCCACTTTCCAATGAAAATTTGTGTGGTAAAAACACGAGCAAAACCTGTCACGAAGACTTTTCACGGAAACTTTACTGTGAACTTTCCTGAAAGCGCTCGCCTTTCTTCGTAAGAGCGGTCCGGTCGATTTCGCTCGTGGAACAGATTTCGTTCATTTCTTGTGTGTTTCGAGACAGCTATGTACTTATATGAAAACCACAGTCCGCCCGATCGGATCTCTTTATTTTCCCGACGTAACTTTGAAGAATAATTTAGAAAACAAAACAAACAAATCTGAGAAACTAAGCTCAAAAGAGATACCATCGAGACGACCTTCAGAAATACCTAGTTTCAAACAAGTGGGAAGACTGAAATAAACCCGTACCGGTTCGGCTCGATGAGTAGATAGGTTGAGGGGAGGGAGTGAGGCAAGGGAGTGAGGCGAAAATAGCGTAAGATGACAAAAGTTGAGACAAAAATCAAAGGTGCACTTCCTAAAAATATTTCTCTCTCTTTCATTCATAAAAATAACACTGCTTCAAGCCGCCAGTTGTTAATAGTCTGAGAGTCGTCTACCATATCTTTGCGAAGTTGAGATACTAGCCCTGCAAATACAGCCCTGTTTTATGTGTTTGTTACGTATCTCAAAGCACTACATAATAAATAACCAGGGCCGTAGCCAGACTTCAGAACAAGACGAGGCAAGTTTGGAGCGCGGAAGGCGCGAGCCGCTAGGGGAGTCTGGGGGGAGTCTGGGGCAAGCCCCCCCCCCCGAGAAAATTTTGAAATCTAGAGGCTCAGAAATGCTCTTTTAACCAATCCAATTAAACGTTTCTTCAAAAAAAAAAATTAAAAAAAAGCCAAAATCGCCTCGTCTTGCCGTATGCTAGCTACGGCCCTAATAACACAAATCATAAGAATATATTGTTTGTGACGTCGAGGTCCAGTGGTGAGGAATTCATTCTGCATTGTAGAAGTTGTTAAAGTTGATTCTTAGTAGAAAGTCGGCCAAGTGCGATTGATAACCTCTGCGAACAAGTTTACCAACAATTGGAAAAAAAAGATTCGAAAAACATTAGTGTTAATTTAAATCAAGCGGTTTTTCAGGATACAGTGTTCTCCTTTAGGGCGGTAACCGGTAAAATTCACCGCCTGTAGTATCTCTTATTAGTGTCTAAAATCGCTTAAAATCCTTAAAAATTGAACAGATTGCTCTATCAGTTTGACAATTTATTTTTTCCTCTTCTGCTTAAAATAAGGAGAACACCTCTATTCAGAGAGAACAACACGCCGGATGCACCCTTTTTGTGCAGCATTACGAACCCATCGCTGACTCGCAGATGACCAAAAGATAAAAAAAATTCCATCAGAGTGCTTTTCTCTAACGTGTTATGAAACCATCACAGAAAACATCACCACGTCAAATCAGAGACAAGAAAGCTATCACAAGGAGCCAATCAGAATTCAGACAAAAAACAAGGAAATTGCCAGAAGCGCGGAAAAACGTGAAGGGACTGAGCGCAAAAAAACAAAACAAAACAAAACAAAAAACCCCCCCCAAAAAAACCAGTTCTTAGCTCTGCAACTGACGATATTCAACAGACCCCTGTTACACCTGACACATTCTCCAGTCCCAAGTACTGTGAACGAAGAATTCCTTAAGAAAAATGTCATTTATCGAAACATCTCACCTGTGAAGAGAAAGGTAGAGTATTCTTTGAACACGTTATGAGTATTAGGCATGATGTCATGCGCGTGACGAGTCACGTGCCCTGTACTAGGGTCATGATGCCATGGGGACGCCAACAGCTGCGCACGCAGTTTGAGTATAAGCGTACCTAGGTCACTTATGATGGTCGTTACAGGCGCTGCCCTTCGACTGAGCAGGGAACAGAAAAAGGCCTTCCGGAGGTACTCCGTGTGTTGGTTGTGAGAGTCGTCCAGGCTTTTTTCCTGGACAAAGAAAATCAAGAATTGCTGTGAACAGCGGTGAACGTTCTAAACTATGCAATCTCTTTCCTAAAAAAAATGAATTGCCGTTAAAAGGCGAACAACCTCTGGATATCTAACACTAAAATGGAGAAAGTTATGCGTGCACGCCATCATTGTTATCGCTTCGGCGCGGGCTTTTCTTTGCCCGCCGGGAAGTAAAAGGCCTTAAGCAACGCGAGCCAGCCAGAGGTCTGAAAGGGGTCTGGCACTGGTAACCTCATTATTAGTAACAGGCCCAAGGCAAACTTATCCCCGACTCTTCTAAAATCTTACAGCGGCAATTTTATATATAATTGGGGGTTACCGAGCAAAAAAAGGCAAAATCGGGGCTGTAGCGTCCATTTGGTAACTAATTATGTCATGGAAAAAGGATAACCTCAAAATATTAAAAATAATTTGATAATATTTTGATACCATTTTGAAAGGAACATTATAAAAGTGTGTTCGTGTCGGTACATCATATAATATTAAAAGTTTAAGGTTATCAAAACCATCTTCAGTTACCCTAAAATAACTAATGAAAGAGGAACGAAAACCGTGTTTACATACGCTCATGTAAAATGGTTTTATGGCCAATCAGAGCACGCGCACTATTTGAATTATTTTATAAAATTTAATGTTCAACGGTAACAACAACAAGAAGAACATTGTATTCCAATCCAATATGTATTCTTTCGTAAGTTATTTACCTTGGGAAAGGTCGGGATAGAGTGTCATCCATCAATCGCGACGTCGAATTTTCAACAGTCTAATCTGCAGACAGTTGGCAGAACTCACGATATCCAATTTAATAAGGTCGAAAAAGACGCTGAAATTTCTTTTTTTAGTTCGTAAGCTCTTTCCACGCGCAAGACCGATAGCAAATGCATGAATTTTAATTTTTTAATGATTTGTAATTCAAATGAGTTTTCCGACTTTGAACGACGAGCTGAATACTAACGACGAGCTTTTCGATTAGTTTTGTGCGATCGTAAGCAATAGTTGGCTATTTTTAAGAGTTAGTAGACTCTAATAAAGAGGTAAAAATATCCTTCGCAACCGTAGCATTACCACAACTATTGCTTGTAAATAACCTTTCAGTTATTAAAATCGTTGTCCAGATTCAAATTAGACTCGGAAACAGCGCTCGAACAATAGCCTTGCGAAGAGCCACTGCTAAATTCCAAATTATCTCATATATTTTTATCTTATTTTATTAACTATCAGCTCGCTCGAACTCCGTGGAATCGCGATAATTTTTTTCGATTCACTTGCAATTTCCGATAAAGGATGAAAGGATTAGAGAAAAGAAAAGGAAAGGAGAAAAGAACCTGCAGTCGAGCATCAACTAACAACCTCTCGCTCATCCTCACGAGGGTCATTTCTTTTGGGGTACCAGCGGACAACCCGTACGTATTTCAACCTCTCAAGAGAATATCAACTTTTGACTTACTCTCTTCACTTCTCTAGAACAAAAATTGATTCCAAGAGACCGGTCGTCATTTATCCCCTGTGGGGGGAGGGAGAGAAGGTTGGACAATACAGATGGCTAAAATGGTCATAAGCGATGCTACAAACATGAAGATTGCCGCGCGAAAGGCTGCCTTGCAAAATCTTCGTTCATAGATCAATAATAAAACTAGGCAAGAATTTGCTTGCAAGCGCATAATTTTAAGAACCTCATGTTTCTTACATCAAAATACAAGCCAGCTTCTATGGTTTTAAGAAAAAACAATACTCCAAAGTAAATTTTGCTGTAAATTAAAGTCAAGTATTTCAAAGGTTTCAAAGTGTGGAGTGCATTCGGTTGTAAGGTTGAAGAAAAAGCGTGGAGGAAGAGCGATCATCCGAACACAAAATCAGCCACCGCTTAAGAAACGACAAATGTGTTGGTTTTGGTGCGAAGCTGACGTTTACTGCAGACGAGGAAGATAACAAATCTATTTAAAACCATTATGATGATGCAGAAGAACCAGCCGAGAACCCAAAACACAGTTTCCATTCTTTTTAATGGCTGTCCTTAACTGCTCTGTTGTTCTTGCGTCGGAACTATTCTGTTGTTTATTAACGACGCCTTTTGAAGAGAAGCCTTTTGCATTCTTGCTTTATATCTCTTTTGAAGAAAGCGTAAACTATTGGGTTTATTCCAGAGTTAATAACTTGTAGAGGAATTTTGTAACGAAAATCGTCACACGATTGAACAATTAAAAATAACAAACTACAACGCATCATTATTCCATAACACGATAGAAACACACACGTTATCAAAGCCACCCATTTCACTGCTGAAGTGTTCTGAGTTTTAGCTTTAGCGACCATTTTATTAAACCGCAATTGCTTAGCTAAATTGCGATCTCTAGAGTTCAGATTGTAAACAACGAGAAACATGGATGCAAGAAAAAAGATTAGAATTACGCACAAGATTATCTCGAAAAGCAAACACAAGTAGCCGAGCATAGCCATGATACGATCGATTGCAATGAGTCTAGTCGACACTAAAATAAGAATGAAAAGAAAAGGAATTCCCCAAGATGTTAGAACCATTTGAATCACTCGACGGCGCGTCATAAAATTTAAGTATTTCAAAGGTTTCACCACAGCAACATAACGTTCCAGTACTAAATTAACCAAGTTTGTTCCAGAGGCGTAAAAAGTGAACACCCTTACAAATATCATAATTAATCCCTCTTTGGAGCTTGGAGGGCATTCGGTTGTAAGTCTGCAGAAAAAGCGTGAAGGAATAGCAGTCATCCCGACACCAAAATCAGCCACTGCTAAAGACACGATGAATGTGTTGGTTTTGGTGAGAAGCTGACGTTTACTGCAGACGAGGAAGATGACAAATCCATTTACAACCATCGTGAGAATGCTGAGGAACCAGCCAAGAACCCAAAACCACATTTCCATTGAATTTCTTCTAATGGCTGTCTAGGACTTTTCAATTTCTTTCTTAGGTCAAGCCAAGAGTGTTTTGAAAGGTTTTAATATTAAAAACTGTTTTTATATTTAGTTCTTAATCAACCATCTGGCCCCATTTAGCCTGCCTAAAAGTTAATTAGGCCGATATCTCTTGTTTACTTATGTTATGTTTTACTTAAGGCTGCAAACATCCTTCACTTTCTTTTGTCAGACGCTTTGTGCACGGAGTTAAACGCCCATTAATTGATTTTCAAGAAGAACGAACCAATTAGAAATCGATAACAAACGCGGAACATTTTTGACTTCATCTTCTGATGTGTTTTATTCAAAGGAAATTACGGCAGTCTTTTTTAGAGAATATCAATACAGCATGATGGTTCAAATATGATAAGAAACGAAACTTACCTTACACTAAATATTTTAAATAACAACAATTTCAAAATTATAAATCGGTCAGTGTTAAGTGTAAATCGCCCCCTTTACTATCAAGTTAAAAACGTTTTAACAAATAAAGAAGCCTCGAAGCTCTGCGTTGTCGTAAAGCACTTGGGAAGCGGCTAGAATATAATGCGAAAGTGATGTGGGGAAAAACACGAGACGTAGTGGAATGTTTTCCCTATTTCTTAGCGCTTGGCATGTTTCAGACCTTTATTTGCCTTTCATGTTGCTACTTGCCGGCTTGGTGTTTTCGTCGGTTATTTTGCCGAAATTTCACTTTCTATCTCCACGTAATTTGTGCTGTTATCAACAGCTTGTTCTATATCAGTTGAAACCAAACAACTCGTTTTCATACTCGTTTTAAAGGTCATCATGTGCAAAACTTGTTGGTCAGGGGCGTCACTTTTCCTTGAAAAAGAGTTTGCTTAACACACTGGCAGAAATTGAAAACGTTTCCCAAAGACTTATTAAGAAAACGTTCTAAAATTTCCTGAAAGCGTTCGCCTTTGACAATCTCTCTTGACATACGACCGATGGATTACATGACTTGAATACTTGTCACTGACAAGTTGGCAAGTATTTCATTTTTAGTCCAAGGTTTTCCTTGACGAGCATCTCCAAGATAAGTTTTCATGGAATAAAAACGTGTTAGAAATGTTACCTACGCTACCAAATGTTAAAAAAATTTCCAAATGAAAACAGGGAAATTAAAAGTATTTATATCATGAATCTTACATCGGTATTGACTCTTTAAGGTGATGATGTATTCCCCGCTAAATTAAACACAGTTCATGGGGAAGTTGCACATATGCAAATCGACTGTCGTTGACAAAAATTCAGTCAATTCAGCACTTTTTTCCAGCATTTGTCTTTTCAAAGTTATCATGTAATTCATCAACAAGAGCTTAATACTCTAAAACATTGAAGAGAACATACAGTAAAAAACACAGCAAAATTGAGGAGGAAAATGGTATTTTTTACTGCATATCATTAAAATATACAACGCAAGCTCATAGTTATAAGAACCAGATGTTTTTAAGACTAAAATGTATGCCATGCCAGCTAAAATTGTTAAGTTAAGAAAAACATTTTCTCCAGTAAAGTACGACCTCCAAATAATCAATATGCGGTCTTAAATATTCGAGACATATGTATTATCAACAGTACTTCTATTAAACAGGTGACTTCGTTTCATCGGAAGCTTTTTAACTGAACAGCAGTTTAGATAAGAATTAATATGTCACCAATAGATTCTGAACCGGAAGTCCTCGGGATCTAAGAAAGTTGCATCAGCTAATGTTTTTCTTGCGTGGGAACTACTCTGCTGTTAAACAGCGACGTCTTTTGAAGAGAAGCCTTCCGCATTCTTGCTTTATATCTCTTTTGAAGAAAGCGTAAACTTTAGGGTTAATTCTGGGGTTAATAACTTGTAGAGTTATGTTGTAATAAAAATCGTTACCACATTTATGCTTTATATCTCTTTTGAAGAAAGCATAAGCTATAGGGTTTATCCCAGAGTTAATAACTTGCAGAAGTATTTTGAGAGAGAGAGACCGGCTGATTAAACCGCAATTGCTTAGCTAAATTGTGGTCTCTAGAGTTCAGATTGTAAACAACAAGAAACATGGATGCAAGAAAAAAGACTAGAATTATGCACATTATCTCCAAAAGAAAACACAAGTAGGGCAATATATATGCTGTTTAATTAAGTCATATTCAGGGCTGCAAACATCCATCACTTAATAACAGAGCGTCAGACGCTTTGTCCACGGAGTTAAACGCCCATTAATTGGTTTTCAAGACGAATAAACCAAATAACAAACGCGGAACTTTTTTGACTTCATACTCTAGTGTGTTTTAATTCAAAGGAAATTACGGCGTTCCTTTTATAAGAATATCAATACAGCATGATAGTTCAAATATGAAAATAAACGAAACTTACCCAACACTAAATATTTTTAATAACAATAATTTCAAAATTATCAATCGGTCAGTGTTAAGCGTAAATCGCCCCCCTTTACTATCAAGTTAAAGACATTTTAAGAAATAAAGAAGCCTCGAAGCTCTGTTTTGTCGTAAAGCACTTCGGAAGCGGCTAGAGCGCGAAAGTGATGTACGGGAAAGACACGAGAAGTAGTGGAATGTTTTCCTTACTTCTTAGCACTTAGTATTTTTGTAGACATTTGTTTGCCTTTCCTGTTTCTACTTGCCGGCCTGCTGATTTCGTCGGTTACTTTGCCAAAATTTCATGTTCAATCTCTGTTTAATTTGTGCTGTTATCGACAGCTTGTTCTACATCAGTTGAAACCAAATAACTCGTTTCCATACCCGTTTTAAAGGCCATCAATTCCCCGCTAAATTAAACACAGCTTATGGGGAAGTTGTACGTATGCAAATCGACTGTCGTCGGACAAAATTCAGACAATTCGGCTCTTGTTTTTCAGCATTTATCGTCTCAAAGTCATTATTGATGTACTTCATCAACCAGAACATAATACTCTAAAACATTGAAGGGAACATACAGCGGACTAGTACTGGCGGACTGTTGTAAAAAATACAGCAAAATTAAAGAGGAAAATGATTTTTTTTAATTCTTTATCATTAAAATATACAACGCAAGACCTAGACATTTCAAAGACTAAAATGTAAATAAGCTTCTACAATCATTTTCTTCAGTAAAGTACGGCCTCAATGTATTCGATATGTCGTCCTAAATCTAGGAAATAAATGTAATATCATCACTGTATTCTTAAACAGGTGGCTACTCTTCGTTTGAGCTTTTCAAAGCTTTTTAACTAAAAAGCAATTAAAAAGAAAACTAAGACATCAAAGATGGATCCAGAATAGGATGTCCACATAATATAGGAGAAATTTGAGTTGATGTATCAGCTTAAGTTTTTCTTGCGTCGCTTGAACTGCTAGGTTGTTAATTAACGACGCCTTTTGAAAAGAAGCCTTTCGCATTCTTGCTTTATATCTCTTTTAAAGAAAGCGTAAACTATTGGGTTTATTCCGGAGTTAATAACTTGTACAGGTACTTTGTAATAAAGATCGTTACCACATCCATTACCAGGCAAATCGACTGTCGTAGACGAAATTCAGACAATTCAGCTCTTGTTTTTCAGCATTTATCGTTTCAAATTTATTATTGATGTACTTCTTCGGCAAGAACATAATACTCTAAAACATCGAAATATATTACATACAGTGGACTGTTCTAAAAACACAGCAAAATTGAGGAGGAAAATGATATATTTTACTCTATATCATTAAAATACACATCGCAAGCTCATTGTCATAAGAACCAGATGTTTCTAAGACTGAAATACGTGCCGGTTTAAAATGACTGATTTAAGAAGAATATTTTCTCCAGTAAAGTATGGCCTCAAAATAATCGATATGCGGTCTTAAATATTAAAGACATGTAATATCAACATTACTTCTCTTAAACAGGTGACTTATCTTTGTTTCATCAGAAGCTTTTTAACTGAACAGCAGTTTAGATAAGAAGTAATATGTCACAGATAGATTCTGAACCGGAAGTCCTCGGGATCTAGGAAAGTTTTAAGTATATGCATCAGCTAATGTTTTTCTTGTGTCGGAACTATTATGTTGTTTATTTACGACGTCTCAGTTTTGAAGAAAAGCCTTGTTTTATATCTCTTTTGAGGAAAGCCGATAAGCTATAGGGTTTATTCCAGAGTTAGTAACTTGTAGAGGTATTTTGTAATAAGAATCGTTACATGATTGATTATCAGTTAAAAGTAACAAACTACAACGCATCATTATTCTGTAACACGATAGAAACACACACGTTATCAAAGCCACCCATTTTACTGCTGACGTGTTCAGAGCTTTAGCTCTAGCGACCATTTGATTAAACCGCAATTGAAAAAAAAAAAGAATTACGCACAAGATTCAAACGCGCTTTTATTATCAAGTTAAAGACGTTTTTAACATATAAAGAAGCCGCGAAGCACTGCTCTTTTGTAAAGCACTTCTGAAGCGGCGTTGTTTGTATTTTGACTCGACATACGGGCTCGTCAAAATACGGCGCAACTCGCAAAAATGCTCAGTGATACCACTCACCAAAACGTATAATAAGATATATTTGTCCACAACTTGTTCTACATCAGTTCTAACCAAATAATTTTTGAAAACGATTTATAATTCAAATGAATTTTCCGACTTTGAACGACGGGCTGAATACCAACGACAAGCTTTTCGGTTAGTTTTGTGCAATCATAAGCAATAATTGGCTATTTTTAAGACGTATTAGACTCCAATAAAGAGGTAAAATATCGCTGCAACCGTAGCACTACCACAGCTGTTGCTATAAATAACTCTTCAGTCATTAAAATCGTTGTCCAGGTTCAAATCAGACTTAGAAACAGCGCAAGAACAGTAGCCTTGCGAAGAGTAACTGACAAATTCCAAATTTCTCCTTTATTTCCATTTTATTTTGTTAACTAATTCGCTCGATCTTCCTGGAATCGCGTTAATTTTTTTCGATTCCCTTGCAATTTTGTAATAGAGGTCTCTCCTTTATTTCGAACCACACCTGTCTCGACAAAGAAAATTACGGTTGAAGGAATGGGCGTATTTTTTCCAATTTCCAAAAGGAAAACAGAAAAGAAAGGGAAATGAGAAAGAAACATGCAGTCGAACATCAACTAACAACCTCGCACTCATCCTCACGAGGGTCATTTTTTTTTTGTGGAACCAGCCGACGACCCGTACGCATTTCCACCTCTCAAGAGAATATCAACTGTTGACTTACTCTCTTGACTTCTTCAAAACAAAAATTGGCTCTAAGAGACTGGTCGTCCTTTATCCCCCTGTGGGGGGAGGGAGAGGAGGTTTGACGATACAGATGGCTACAATGGTCATAATCGATGCTACAAACAGGAAGATTGCCGCGCGAAAGGCTGCCTTGCAAAACCTTCGTTCATAGATCAGTAATAAAACTTGGCAAGAAATTACTTTATGACAAGTTTTCAAAGGGATTGTTCAGTCGAAAGTTCCCAATGCACGACATCTAACGAGGAACTGACAGAAATGTTGTGCACGGCTCTCTTTCAACGCTAAGATTCTAACCATATTTTGTATGATATCATCGGATTAAACTACGCGTGGATCACGCGATCTGTTATAGAACTGGACACATCAGTTGACAAGGAACATGACATGTTTTCACCCTTATTTTTTAATTATGCAAGGTAAGCTCATAATTGTAAGAACCAGATGCTTTTTACATCAAAATACAAGTCAGCTTTAATGGTTTAAAGAAAAAACATTACTCCAAAGTAAATTTTGCTGCAAATTAAAGTCAAGTATTTCAAAGGTTTCAAAGCGTGGAGTGCATTTGGTTGTAAGGTTGAAGAAAAAGCGTGGAGGAACAGCGATTATCCCAACACCAAAATCAGCCACCGCTTAAGAAACGACAAATGAGTTGGTTTCGGTGAGAAGCTGACGTTTACTGCAGACGAGGAAGATGACAAATCCATTTAAAATAATTGTGATAATGCAGAAGAACCAGCCGAGAACCCAAAACCACGTTTCCGTTGAATTTCTTTTAATAGCTGTCCTTAAGTAGTCTGTTGTTCTTACGTCGGAACTATTCTGTTGTTTATTAACGACGCCTTCTGCACAGAAGGCTTTTAAATTCTCGTTTTATATCTCTTTTAAAGAAAGCATAGGCTATAGGGTTTATTCCAGAGTTAATAAGTCGTAGAGGTATTTTGAAATACTCATCGTTACATGGTGAATTATCAGTTATATCTAATAAACTACAACGCATCATTATTCCGTAATACGATAGAAACACGCACGTTACCAAAGCCACCCATTTTACCGCTGACGTGTTGTGAGTTTTAGCTCTAACGAACAGTTGATTAAACCGCAATTGCTTAGCTAAATTGCGATCTCTAGAGTTCAGATTGTAAACAACAAAAAACATGGATGCCAGAAAAAAGATTAGAATAACGACCGAGATTGCCTCAAAAAGCAAATGTAAGTAGCCGCCTATAGTCCAGGCACGATCGATTACACCATGTTTAATCGACACTAAAGTAAGAGAGAAAAGAAAAGGAATTCCCCAAGATGTTAGAACCATTCGAATGACTCGACGGCGCTTCATAAAAGTCAAGTATTTCAAAGGTTTCACAATAGCAACATAACGTTCTAGTACTAAACTAACCAAGTTTGTTCCAGAGGCGTAAAGAGTGAACAAATTTAAAAATGCCTCAATTAATTCCTCATTTGAGCCTTGAGGGCATTCGGTTGCAAGGGTGCAGAGAAAGAATGAAGGAACGGTAATCATCCCAACACCAAAATCAGCCACTACTAAAGACACGACAAATGCGTTGGTTTTGGTGCGAAGGTGACGTTTACTGCAGACGAGGAAGATGACAAATCCATTTAGAACCATCGTGAGAATGCTGAGGAACCAGCTGTGAACCCCGACCCGCGTTTCCATGGAATTTCTTCTAAAAGGCTGTCTTGGACTTTTCAATTGCTTTCTTCGGTCAAGCCAAGAGTATTTTGAAAGGTTTTAAGGATGAAGAATGTAATTGTATTTATATAGAGTTTTTAATCAACCAACTGGCCTCATCTAGCCCACGCAAGAGTTAATTAAGGCAATATCTATGCTGTTTAATTAAGTCATATTCAAGGCTGCAAACATCCATCACTTAATAACGTTCTTGTCAGACGCCTCATGCGCGGAGTTTGACGTCTCTTTATTGGTGAAGAATAAACCAATTGCAATCGGAAATTGATAACAAACGCGGAACATTTATTTAATTTGTCTTCTAATGTGTTTTAATTCAAAGAAATTACGGCAGTCCTTTTTTGAGACTATCAGACAGCATGATAGTGTAAATAAGATGCGAATTAACGAAACTTAGCCAACAACAAATAATTTATTTCAATAACAATAATTTCAAAATCATCAATCGGTCAGTGTTAAGCGTAAGTTGCCCCCTTTTACGGTACGGCCTCAAAATAATCAATATGTGGCCTTATCAACACTACTTCTCTAAAACAGGTGACTTATCTTTGTTTCATTGGAAGCTTTTTAACTGAACAGCAGTTTAGATAAAAATTCATATGTCACGAATAGATTCTGAACCGGAAGTCCTCGGGATCTAAGGAAAGTTTTAAGTATATGCATCAGCTAATGTTTTTCTTGCGTCGGAACTACTCTGTTGTTAAATAACGACGCCTTTTGGAGAGAAGCCTTCCGCATCATTGCTTTATATCTCTTTTGAAGAAAACGTAAACTTAACAGTTTAATTCGGAGATTATAACTTGTTGAGTTAATTTCCAATAAAAATCGTTTCCATATTTATGACCAGTTAAAAATAATAAACTACAACGCAAGAATATTCCGTAACACAATAGAAACACACACGTTACCAAAACCACCCATTTTACAGCTGATTTGTTCTGTGTTTGAATTTTAACGATCCGATGATTAAAATTCAATTGCCTGGCTACAGTACGATCTTTAGAGTTCAGATTGTAAACAACAAGAAACATGGATGTAAAAAAGATTAGCATCAAGCACAAGATTTTTTCGAAAAACAAATACAAGTAGCCGACGATGGTCATCGCATGTTCGAATGAATTGAGTCTAATTGACAATAAAGAAAAAGTAAGAGTAAAAGAAAAGGAATTCACCAAGATGTAAAAACCATTTGAATGACACGGCGGCGCTTCATCAATGTCAAGTGTTTCAAAGGTTTCCCACGGCAATTTATCCATTTACAACCATCGTGAGTATGCAGAGGAACCAGCCGAGGATCCAAAACCACAATTTCTTTGAATTTCTAGTTTAAGAAAATTTTAAGCAAGAACGTTTTAGGCAAAAAGAATTGTTTATATAAGGGTTTTATAAAACCATCTCGCTCCCATCAACTCCTAAAATGTACTTAGGACAACGGATGTTTAGTTAAGTCGCATTCAAGGCTACAAACATTTCAATCGGTAACTTGATCCGAAATTTCACTCTCTATCTGCGTGTAATAATGTACATGAAAAAATTACGCGCGTCTGATTGGCTGAAACGAGTCCATTTTTCATGTAAAACGAGTGCAAAGTTGTAACACGAATGCAATGTTGTTGTCTTTGACAAATTTACTTGTGCTTACTAACACCAAATTGCACTCGAAATCATGTTGTTATTTATACTTAAAATATACACGAAAAATTTACGCGCTTCTGATTGGCTCAAACCGAGTGCATTTGTCATGTAACACTGGTGCAAAGCTGGAACATGAATACAAATTACAAATAGCAGGCACGCTGTCAAAATTTCGTTTGCCTTGCCTTTGAGAGATGCCTTTTTCATGTATATTATTACTAAGTAACAACATGATTTCTCGTGCAAAGGCTTACCTGATAATTTTTCAAAGACCACAAATTGCACTCGCAATTTGCTACGGGCACGTGAAATATTTGGTCTTTGATAAATTTACTCGACTTTTAACACCAATTTGACTCGAAATCATGTCAGTACTACTTTGTGCTGTTACCTACAGGTTGTTCCGTGTCATTTGAGGCTAGAGCTCGTTTCCATATTCGTTAGAAACTTCATGCAAGACGTGTGGGTCAAGTACGCCAGAACACGAGCAAAACCTGTCACCTAAGACTTTTCACGAAAACTTTATTGTGAACTTTCCTGAAAGCACTCGCCTTTCTCCTTAAGAGCGGTCCGGTCGAATTCGCTTGAGAAACAGATTTCGTTCATTTCTTGTGTGTTGCAAATTTCAAGACAGCTATGTACTTGTATGAAAACCAAAGTCCGCCCGGTCGGATCTCTTTATTTTCCCGACGTAACTTTGAAGGATAATTTAGGAAACAAAACAAAACGAAACAAACAAATCTGAGAAACTAAGCTCAAAAGAGATAGCACTGCCGTGTAGATCATGTCTAGCTAAACCCATCGAGACGATCTTCAGAAACACCTGGTTTCGAACAATTGGGAAGACTGAAATAAACACCTATCGGTTCGGTTCGGTGAGTAGAGAGGTTGGGGGGAAGGGGTGAGGCGAAAAAAGGGTTAGATGACAAAACTTGAGACAAAAATCAAAGGTGCGCGTGATCATCTCTGACTCCATACCTTTTCCTAAAAATATTTTTCTCTCTTTCATTTATAAAAATAACACTGCTCAAAGTCGCCAGTTGTTAATAGTCTGAGAGTCGTCTACCATATCTTTGCGAAGTTGAGATATTAGCCCTGCAAATACAGCCCTGTTTTATACGTTTGTTACGTATCTCAAAGCACTACATAATAAATAACTAGGGCCGTAGCCAGACTTCAGAACAAGACGAGGCAAGTTTGGAGCGCCGAAGGCGCGAGCCGCTAGGGGAGTCTGGGGGCATGCCCCCCCGAGAAAATTTTGAAATCTAGAGGCTCAGAAATGCTTTTTTAACCGATCCAATTTTTTCTAGGGATTATTTTCTCAATTAAACGTTTCTTCAAAAAAAAGTTAAAAAAGCCAAAATCAAGACGAGGCAATCGCCTCGTCTTGCCTCATGCTAGCTACGGCCCTAATAACACAAGTCATAAGAATATATTGTTTGTGATGTCGAGGTCCAGTGGTAACGAATTCATTCCGCATTGTAGAAAGCTGATTCTTAGTAGAAAGTCAGCCAAGTGCAATTAATAACCTCTGCGAACAAGTTTACCAACAACTGAAAAAAAAGATTCGAAAAACATAAGTGTTCATTTAAATCAATCGGTTTTTAGCATATAGTGTTCTCCTTTAGGGCGGTAACCGGCCAAATTTACCGCCTGTATTATCTCTTATTAGTGCCTAAAATCGCTTAAAATCCTTAAAAATTGAACAGATTGCTCTGCCAGTTTGAAAATTTATTTTTCCTCTTCTTCTTACATTAAGGAGAACACCTTTATTCAGAATGCACAGCACGCCGAATGCACCCTTTTGGGGAACAATACGAACCCATCGCTGACTCGCAGATGTCCAAAAGATTAAAAAAAAATTAAAACATTTATTCCATCAGAGTGCTTTCCTCTAACGTGTTATGAAACCAACACAGAAAACACCGCAACGTCCAATCAGAGACAAGGAAGCTATCACAAGGAGCCAATGAGAATTTAGACAAAAAGAAGGAAATTGCCTGACGCGCGGAAAAAGGTGAATGACTGAGCGCAATATTCAACAGATCCCTGTTATCGCTAACACATTTTCCAGTCTCAAGTACTGTGAACGAAGAATTCCTTAAGAAAAATGTCGTTTCCCGAAACATCTCACCTGTGAAGAAAAAGGACGAGTAATCTTTGAACACGTTATGAGTATTACGCATGATGTCATGCGCAGGATGAGTCACGTACCTTGTACTAGGGTCATGATGCCAAAGGGACACCAACAGCTGCGCACGCAGTTTGAGTATAAGTGTGCCTAGGTCACTTATGTTGGTCATTACAGGGGCTGCCTTTCGACTGAGCAGAGAACAGAAAATTTATTTTCGGAGGTACTCCGTGTGTTGGTTGTGTAAGTCGTCCAGGCTTTTTTCCTGGATAAAGAAAATCAAGAATTGCGGTGAACATTCTAAACTATGCAATCTCTTTCCTTAAAAAAAAAAAAAAAAAAAAAAAAAAAAAAAAAAATGAATTGCCGTGAAAAGGCGAACAGCCTATGGATATCTAACACTTAAATGGAGAAAGTGATGCGAGCACGCCATCATTATTATCACTTGGGCGCTGGCTTTTCTTTGCTCGCCGAGAAGTAAAAGACCTTAAGCAACGCGAGCCAGCCAGAAGTCTGAAAGGGGCCTGGCACTGGTAACCTCATTACCAGGCCCAAGGCAAACTTCTCCCCGACTCATCTCAAATCTTACGGCGGCAATTTTATATATAATAGGGGGTTACCGAGCAAATAAAGGCAAAATCGGGGTTGTAGCGCTAATATGGTAAATATTTATGTCATGAGAAAAAAATAACCTCAAAACGTTAAAAACAATTTGATAATATTTTGATACCATTTTCAAAGGAACATGACAAAAGTGTGTATGTGTCGATGCATTATAGAATATTTGTTTAAAGTTATCAAAATCATCTCTGCTCAGTCGAAAGGCAAATCAAACTCTGAGCACGATGGATTGTGTATATTTTTGAAATAAGTTTAAAAATGAAAATAGGAAGGAAATTAGCAATCAACACAACAACAATGAACGAACAAATTTCTCACTGCTGCCTCAGGAGTTACTTGGTTCAATGAAAACTATCATGGCGGCTACGAATGGGAACGATTTCGTCTTACAGTGTACGTGCTGTATTATCTAATAAGTTCTCGGCTCCACTCTACATGTCACTCTGAAATTTAATGTTCAAAGATAACAACAATAACAAGAACACTGTATTTCAATCCATTATGTAGTAATGCATAAGTTATTACCTTGGCAAAAGTCGGGACAGAGTTTCATTCATCAATTCGCACCGTCGAAATTTTCAGCACTCTGATATGCAGATTTAAAGAAACAGTCTCCGCTCTCGGCAGACTGACGATAACCAAGCTAATAAGGTCGAAATGATCTCTTTCTTGGCCGCAAACTGGCTGAAAAAGACGCTGAATTTCTTTTTTTTAGTTTGTAAGCTCTTTCCACGTGCAAGACTGATAGCAAATTCATGAATTTTAATTTTTTAAATGATTTGTAATTCAAATGAGTTTTCCGATTTTGAACGACTGGTTGACTAACAACGAAGAGCTTTTCGGTCAGTTTTGTACAACCGTGAGCAATAATCGGCTATTTTTAAGACTCTAATAAAGAGGTGAAAATATCTTTGCACTCTTAGCAATACAAAAACTTACTTGTAGATAACTCTTAAGTTATTAAGATCGTTGTCCAGATTTAAATTAGACAGCGCACGAATAGTAGCCTTGCGAGAAGCCACTGCTAAATTCCAAATTATCTCATTTATTTCTATTTTATTTTATTAACTAACTCGCTCGATCTTCCTGGAATCCCTTGCAATTTCGCGAAGAGGTCTCTCCTTTATTTCAAATTGCACTTGTCTCGGCGAAGAGAATTACGGTCGAAGGAATGGGTGTATTTTTCCAATTTCCGATAAAGGGTGAAAGGAAAAGAGAAAAGAAAGGGAAAGGAGAAAGAAACGTGCAGTCGAGCATCAATTAATAACCTCGCACTCATCCTAACAAGGACCATTTCTTTCTGGGTACCAGCAGCGGACGACCCTTACATATTTCAACCTCTCAAGAGAATATCAACTGTTGACTTACTCTCTTGACTTCTCTATAACAAAACTTGGCTCCAAGAGACCGGTCGTCATTTATCTCCTGTGGGAGGAGGAGGAGGAGGAGGAGGAGGAGGTTGGACGATACAGATGGCTAAAATTGTCATAAACGGTGCTACAAACATGAAGATTGCCGCGGCAAAAGGCTGCCTTGCAAAATCTTCGTTTATAGATCAATAATAAAACTGGACAAGAAATTGCTTTAGGTCAAGTTTTTAAAGGGATTGTTGAGGGTCGAAAGTTCCCGAAGTACGACTTTTGTCTAGGAACTGACGGATACTATGCCAACGAAATGTTGCTCACAGCTCCTTGTCAACGTTAAGATTCTAACCATATTTTGTTTGGTATCGTCGGATTGAACTACGCGTGGATCAAGCGAACTGTTACTGAACCGGACACATCAATTGACAAGGAATATGAAATGTTTTTACTCTTTTTATTTTATTATCTAAGGCAAGCTCGTAATTTTAAGAGCCAGATGTTTCTTACATCAAAATACTAGTCAGCTTCAATGGTTCAAAGAAAAAACCATTATCCAAAGTAAATTCTGCCGCAAATTAAAGTCAAGTATTTCAAAGGTTTCAAAGCGTGCAGTGCATTCGGTTGTACACGATGGTCGGTTGCTATGTAAATTCCTCCCGTTGCTATCTTAGAGGTCACGTGATGACGCGTTCACGGCTTGAGCTGATTTAAGGCGTCAAGCTAAAGGGCTTTTTTCAGTCGTTTATTTTACATTGGATAAAGCTTACCATCCTTCTTTTTTTCATATTGAATGACTATGGCCTTTCACTTATGGCAGAAGAAAGAAAATATCAGGTTTTTCGAATGACTTCTCCACGAAACGGCTCGTCTAAGATAGGTACGCTACCGGCTAGCAACGGGTTTACAGAAGCCAATACGTCAACACAACCGCTGTGATTTCTGCATTTCTAGAGTCCTGGTACTGAGAGAACAATTTTTTACTTACGGGGCTCCACTATTAAGACAAACGCAGAACAAAAACGAAGAAAATACACCCAAAATACCTGTCCTCCTCCCTGAAAAGTATAATTTTGACCGTTTAGTTACCGAGCGTGCCATAAATCGAAAGTTGAAAGTGGACTTTGGTGTAAATGGCGTCGTTTTCGCCAATTTCTTCGGAGGAATCCAGGTAAGAAATTGTCCTGTAAACTCGATTTTCTCCGTTGATCAGTTTAGGCCGCCATCTTGAATTTCCTCAGGCTCAATGTTGAGTGTTTTATTTCATCTGTAGCCCTGAAGGAGACCGTAAATGTTGCAGAAAAAGCCGAAAATGCAGCAAAGAGAAAGGCCATGTGGGCAAATGTGATTCGAAACGACAAGTAAATCGTTTCTGGGAAACATCGCCCATTTTTAACATTCATAAGGAGCGCCAAACGCTCCAAGACAACTTTCGCCATCTTCAAGTCCAAGAAGATGCTTTATCCAAGAAGGAGCAAGATATCTTGGCTTTACAAAGGGAGACAGATTCTCTAGTGGAGGAATCAGGTTAGTTTCCTACTTGTAAGTGGGTTTGTTGCGGCAAGATAAACGGAATTGATTATTATTTATTCATTTATTTGCCGTTTTGGAATTGTCACTATTTTGATGATGATTCCTTATCCTTGTTTATAGAAAGAGCACTGCAAAAATCAAAAGGAGAGAAAGAGACACTAGACAAAGAAATAAGTGAAGCAGAGGAGACACTGAGAGAACTAAAGGAGGCATATGAGAAAGTGAAAAAGCTGTTGGGGCAAGAGGATTATTCCCGAAGACGAAGGAGTGCTGCTAGCACATCATATGAAATGATTAATGATTATAAGTCGAGCACTAGATATAGGAGAAGGGAAGAAACTAAAAGCATTTTAGAATTTATTCATGGGGGTTTTGAAGCTTCATTGTATGGGGCATGGGATTTTTTGGCTGCCAATGCAAGTAATGAAACCATGACCAAATTAATGAGTAGTTATAAGAGGGGCCGATTTCTTCAGGGTATTTTTGAGAGAGCCATTAATGATTTTCAGAAGTCAGAAGAAGTACTGAAACAGTCTGTGGCACTTAAATATCAGAGTTATTTGTCTAGAAGAAAGTATAATCTTGTCTGTAAAACACAAAGTTCATTTTTTAATGCTGAAAAAGAAGTCTGGCTGCCACGTAACATTAAATGTCTTGGAGTTGACTTAAGGTTACCCAAGCTCAGCTTCTCAGATGACAATGTTGACAAGTTTGTGAAAAGTTTAGACATTGGTCATGTCACACAGATCCCAGGGGTATTAGGTGTTTCTCGCACAGTCACTGGCCTGGTGTTTATGATTATTGATTTGCACTTGAGAGTTCCCCATCTTTCTCGTAAACTTGTCTGGTTCAATGAAAATGAAAATGATTTTATTTTTCAGTTCTCAGATGATGGAGCTCCCGGAACAAATGAGCTGACAATGTCAATAGGAAGTATGGTGTGCTGGAACTTTGGAGATCAGGTACGAAGTAGGGACTTCCAGTACCTCCTCCACTGTGTAAGTGTAAAAAAGAAAGATCAAATAATGCATGACCTCTGGAAGCAGCACACTGAAGAGATGAAAATGTTGGAAGGTAATGTTTAGACTGTTTGTGATAAGGAGTGCACTGTTGAATTTCAGCCAGGAGCAGACATGTCCTGGCAGAGCTGGGCTGCCAATGAACTCAACCAGGCAGCTACATATCCTTCCCCATATGCAAATGTTCATAAAGGAAACATGAACACTATGGGGGGTAGTATTGGAGTGGGTAAAGATGACACCTGGAAGCCTTACACTATGGAAATGAGAACCTCTAATACTGAGAAGGTAAACAATTTTATCGCCTCTCTTCCCCCAAACCTTTCAGAAAAAAATAAAAATTTCAGAAAATTGCAGTTTATGGTTGAAAATGGCATCCGACAGCTAGGTCTACCAAGGATTGGGCATTTTGCAGACAAGTTAAGGCCAGAACCCATGCGCTGTGAGATCAATGCCTGGCAGCATTATATTGATCTCCTATATTTAGAAGCAGTAAGAAGAGGAAAGTTTGATCCTTTTGTTTCTGCCCTGGCAGCACCTATAGGGAATAGAGATGGAGATGTTAAGGAGGGACAACCCCAAAAGACTCTTTTGAGGGTTTCTGATATAGACAGTGTTGGGGAGCGCGCCAGAAAGCAGGAATGTTGCAGAAATCAGAGGAGGACCTAAAACAATACCTGCAGAAGACAGGTTTTCCTCATGTAAGGCATGCAACAGGTGAGGGGGGGTGTGGACTGGGATACTTGGCTTCAAGAGTAAAAGAACATTTTAGTGATGAAACTAACAGGTATAACAAGTTACCAGTTAGGCTTATTGGCAATCAAGCTATTGCATTGGCTCGATATTACTACCGTTTAGTTGACACTTTAGAAAATGAAGATGAAACAGAGGCACAAACAATCCAACGACTGGCTCTTAGCAAGATAGGTGAGTATCTGAGGAATGCTGGGGGGCTTTTTAATAGAATAGAGACCAATTCTGCTCAGGTTGCAGAACTGAAAGAAATGTGTAGTATGTATTTTAACCTGATGTCTTTGTTTTTTTCATCCAGTGTTAATGTCACAACATGGACAATTGGATATGCCATTCCCTATCATGCAAATTTGCTGTTTACAGGGTATGGGGTGGGCTATGGCATTGTCTCCTTGCAGGCTAAAGAGGCCAAACATTCTGGAGTGAAGAAAGATTTGACCTTAACTAACCGGTCAAATGTTAGTACTGCCACTGGTAAATGGTGGCAAGTAATGCGAAGTAATTATGTTCGCTCATTTTACCTCCCAGAACATCAACCAATGCCCTCTTCTTATACCTCACACTACCAATCACGTTCTCCACCACACCGTTACCAATCAAATGTTTGTAATTGTTGTAGGAATAAAGAAAACGATTTGCTCAGTTGTCAAGTTTGTTTTTCTAGTATTAACCTTGTGACTTGTGCAAGCAGCAGAGGTCTGACAGAATCAGTGTTGTGTACACTAAAACCTGTTGTCTGTAAATAGTGCAATACTCGCTTTGCTGATAACCTATCATTATCGTCTCATTTAAAGTTCTGCAATGTCACTGAGGTAAGAAAGGTAGCTATCAAGCCAACTTTAAGCACTGCAGGTACTAAGGAAATTCTAATTAAGCGCCTTGAAGGTGCATTGGCTGGGGAGGGGTAGTTGAATTATTTTTTAATCAACAGTTTAAATCTCTCAAAATATTTGATTTTAAAGTTATTTTTCTTGGCCAAGTTGGTGCACAATAAGGCATACTTGTTATGAGAATGATAACTAGGCTCTCAACAAATTCTGTGTGCCAGTAATGTGAGTAACATACCTACTTCATAAGAAAAATATATTTAAATTGGTGCAAAGTTTTTTAAATTAGCTATGTTTGTCAGAGAGGTTAAACCTGTCCAAATGCAAAAGTACTGTTGTCACTGATATCACTTGGTATGCACTGATATATTACATTTAAAACTTTATAAACCCATTATTTTTTTTACTAACTTGCATTTTAGAGGCAGGGTTTCTGCTCTAATGAATTTATGGAATTTTGTACTTAAAGGTTTGGCCACTTAAGCCTTTACATGCCAACAATAGCATGAATATTCTCTATACTGTTCTCAATATATTTTACAAGGTGTTGACAAGGAGAATTTGCTAAATAATCAAGAGCTTCATTAGTTAATAATTATTTCCCCCATTCTTGTGACCTTATGTTTAATTTGGGGTTAATATTGTAAGAAGAAATTAGATTCTAGACATTGTAAGGGGTCAAAGGGTCCATAAGTAGTGACCCAGCATTTTGCTTATGTGGACACAATACATTTGTTTTATTAATGGATTTGTCTCAAATAAAAGGTAAACGAATTTGCAGCTTGATAGTTTTAAGAGTAAGATGAAGTATACACAGATAAATGAAATTTGTATCTAAAAGGAGTAATTCTGTATACTGATAGATAATTTCATAAATGAGTCAGACATCATTGTTAGTCAAATAATAAAAAAGCTTTCAGCTATTATGTTTAGGTAAAACCATAATTCTATTTATTCACTCCAATGTATTACAGTCTACAAGATACGAAGATTAAATTTTAAAATATCTGCTTGTATTAAAAACATGTTTCCTTTAGAACTTTGTTTCAGATTACATTCAAGGTTGTCATTCTTTTGATGTATGAAGTTTCGTGACAAGGTCTAACAAAACATTAGCAAGTCCTACTGTTAATTAACTGTCAGGCTACATAGTGTTCAAATTCAATAGCTTTTGCAAATTTGAGTCCTTTGCAAATCCTTCTCGATCATAGCGCTGCAAGCAAAATGTGGTTACTACCCTTTGTTGTTTTGTTGAATAAACCATTTGCAGCGGCGTAGTTGGTGTTACAACAACAATTGACTTGCCGCTGTAACTTTGAAGCACGCGACCATCCTCGGGGATTTTCTCGAAGTGCCGCTTCTTGAGAAAATTCTCTCCTTTAAATCTCGCGGGAGACCAAATTTTTTCTGCAGTGTCGAGCCTTTGGAAAGTTAGCGTTATTCTCTAACCATTCTTGGTTGTGTCCGCGCTTCCCCCGTACCCTTGTACTAAAACCCAGATATGTTTAAAGATTTGAAATGGCATAAAGAGAGTGATGGGCGCCATAAGACCGGTCATTCTAGAGCGAGCGAGCTTCGCATTAATAGAGAGCCCGATCTCCTTTAGGAAGCCATCCACCAAGGGACCTACAAGCTCCAACTTGTTGCCTGTGAGCTCTTCCAACACGGGATCAAGGTCTCTTATCCCGTAATCAGGTTTATTTTCTGCGAAACGAACCCTCCTCAACCATTCTTTCTCCACAGAGAACTTCATCTCTACGGAGTTGGTATTCCAAAACCGGTCTCCTCTCTCTGTTTCATCCTCCATGCCGAAGTGCCTTAAACAGAGTTTGTTTGATGTGCTCGCGCTGTTATCATTTGCCGCCATTTTTGAATAGGCCTTTACTTTTCGTGCCAACTGCCGCTGATGATTTCTGCGCCAGCGCGCATCAGAGTTGCGGGAGGAAAACCCATGGCAACCGACCATCGTGGTAATGTTGCAGAAAAAGTGAGAGGGAGCAGTGATCACCCCAACACTTTGGTTTTGGTGCGAAGCTGACGTTGACTGCAGACGAGGAAGATGACAAATCCATTTACAACCATCGTGATGATGCAGAAGAACCAGCCGAGAACCCAAAACACGGTTTCCATTGAATTTCTTTTTAATGGCTGTCCTTAACTACTCTGTTGTACTTGCGTCGGAACTATTCTGTTGATTATTAACGACGCCTTTTGAAGAGAAGCCTTTTGCATTCTTGCTTTATATCTCTTTTGAAGAAAGCGTAAACTATTGGGTTTATTCCAGAGTTAATAACTTCTAGAGGTTTTTTGTAAGGAAAATCGTCACACGATTGAACAATTAAAAATAACAAACTTCAACGCATCATTATTCCGTTACACGATGGAAACACACACGTTATCAAAGCCACCCATTTCACCGCTTAAGTGTTCTGAGTTTTAGCTCTAGCGACCAGTTGATTAAACCGCAATTGCTTAGCTAAAGTGCGATCTCTAGAGTTCAGATTGTAAACAACAAAAAACATGGATGTAAGAAAAAAGATTAGAATTACGCACAAGATTATCTCGAAAAGCAAATACAAGTAGCTGCTCATAGTCCGGGCACGATCGTTTCTACTAAGTTTAATGGACACTAAAGTAAGAGCAAAAAGGAAAGGGATTCCCCAAGATGTTAGAACCATTGGAATAACTCGACGGCGCTTCATAAAAGTCAAGTATTTCAAAGGTTTTACAACAGCAACGTAACGTTCCAGTACTAAAACAACCAAGTTTGTTCCATAGGTGTAAACAATGAAAACCCTTACAAACATCATAATTAATCCCTCTTTTGAGCGCGGAGTGCATTTGGTTGCAAGGCTGCAGAAAAAGTGTGAAGGAACAGCGAGCATTCCGACCTTTGTTTGCCTTTCCTGTTGTTACTTGCCGGCCTGGTGTTTTCGTCGGTTACTTTGCCGAAATTTCACTTTCCATCTCCGTGTAATTTGTGCTGTTATCGACAGCTTGTTCTGCATCAGTTGCAACCAAATAACTTGTTTTCATACTCGTTTTAAAGGTCATCATATTGAAGACTTGTGGATCAAGTGCGTCACTTTTCTGTGAAAAATTTGTTAGACACACTAGCAAAAATTAAAAACATTTCACAAAGACTTATCGAGAAAACATAAAGTTCTAAAATTTTCTGAAAGCGTTTGCATTTGATGACATTGACCGACCAATTACAGGACTAAGATATTTATCAAATATTTCATTTTAAGTCGAACTAGGATCTTCTTTGACGAGAATATCCAAGAAAAGTTTTCATAGGATAAAATAGTGTTGGAAATGTAATGTTGTTACCTGACTACCAAATGTGAAATATTTCTTGACGAAAAGGGGAGATTAAAAGTTTTATATCAATGAATCTAGTATCGGCTTTGGCTAACAGCGATGATGGCCAGTTCCTCGTTAAATTAAAACCGTGACAGCTCATGTGGAAGTTGCACGTATGCAAATCGACTGTCGTGGACGAAATTCAGGGAATTCAACTTTTGTTTTCCAGCATTTATCGTTTCAAAGTTATCATGTAATTCATCAACAAGAGCATAATGCAGTGGACTGGCGGACTGTTGCAAAAACGCAACAAAATTGAGGAGGAAAATGATATTTTTTACTCTTTATCGTTAAAATATACAACGCAAGCTCACCAGATGTTTCTAAGACTAAAATACAAGCGAGCTTAAATGATTAATTTAAGAAAAACATTTTCTCCAGTAAAGTATGGCCTCAAAATAATCAACATGTGGTCTTAAATATTAGAGGAAATGTAATATCAACACTACTTCTCTTAAACAGGTGACTTAACTATGAAAAAATTAGCCACCGCTTAAGAACGACAAATGTGTTGGTTTTGGTGCGAAGCTGACGTTGACTGCAGACGAGGAAGATGACAAATCCATTTACAATCATCGTGATGATGCAGAATAACCAGCCGAGAACCCAAAACATGGTTTCCACTGAATTTCTTTTTAATGGCTGTCCTTAACTACTCTGCTGTTCTTGTGTCGGAACTATTCTGTTGTTTATTAACGACGCCTTTTGAAGAGGAGCTTTTTGCATTCATGTTGTATATCTCTTTTGAAGAAAGCATAAGCTATAGGGTTTATTCCAGAGTTAATAACTTCTAGAGGTATTTTGTAATGAAAATCGTTACACTTTTGATCAGTTAACATTAATAAACTACAACGCATCATTATTCCGTAACACGATAGAAACACACACGTTACCAATGCCACCCATTTTACCGCTGACGCCTTGTTTTGAGTTTTAGCTCTAGCGACCGGTTGATTAAACCGCAATTGCTTAGCTAAAGCGCGATCTCTAGAGTATAGAGCAAAAAACATGGATGCAAGAAAAAAGATTAGAATTACGCACAAGATAATCTCGAAAAGCAAAGCCAAGTAGCCTAGCACAGTCCGGGCACGATCGATTCCACTAAGTTTAATGGACACTAAAGTAACAGCAAAAAGAAAAGGAATTCCCCAAGATGTTAGAACCATTTGAATGACTCGACGGCGCTTCATAAAAGTCAAGTATTTCAAAGGTTTTACAACAGCAAAGAAACGTTCCAGTACTAAAAAAACCAAGTTTGCTCCAGAGCTGTAAACAATGAAAACCCTTACAAACATCACAATAAATCCTTCTTTTGAGCGTGAAGTGCATTCGGTTGCAAGGCCGCAGAGAAAGAGTGAAGGAACAGCAATCATCCCGACACAAAAATCAGCCACTGCTAAAGAAACGACAAATGCGTTGGTTTTGGTGCGAAGCTGACGTTTACTGCAGACGAGGAGGATGAGAAATCCATTTACAGCCATCGTGAGAATGCTGAGGAACCAGCCGAGAACCCAAAACCACGTTTCCATTGAATTTCTTCTAAATGTCTGTCTAGGACTTTTTAGGACTAGGACTTTCTTTAGGACTAGGATATTCTAGGACTTCTTTCTTCGGTCAAGCCAAGAGTGTTTTGAAAGGTTTTAGGGATGAAAAATGTAATTGTGTGTATATCTAGTTTTTAATCAACCATCTGGCCCCATCCAACCTACGTTAAAGTTAATATGGCAATAAATGCTGTTTAATTAAGTCATATTCGAGGCTGCAAACACCCATCACTTAAGGACGTTCTTGTCAGACGCTTCGAGCACGGAGTTCAACTCCGTACACGAAGCGTCTGACAAGTTTTGTTAATTCGCATCCCAAAAAGTCTCAAAAAAGGACTGCCGTAATTTTCTTTGAATTAAAACACATTAGAAGATGAAGTCAAAAAAGGTTCCGCGTTTTTTTATCAATTTCTGATTGCAATTGGTCCATTATTCTTGAAAACCAGTAAACAGACGTCAGTGTAAATTACGGCGGCCTTTTTCTGAGACAATCAGTATAACATGATAGGGCAAATAGGATGCAAATTAACAAAACTTAGCCAACAACAAATATTTCAAATAACAATAATCTCAAAAGTATCAATCGTTAGTGTCAAGCGTTAAAGCATTTCGGAAGCGGCGTTGTTTGTATTTTTACTCGCCATACGGGCTCGTCAAAATACGGCACAACTCGCAAAAATACTCAGCGATACTACACACTAAAACGTCTAAGAAAATATATTTATCCACAACTTGTTCTACATCAGTTGCAACCAAATATCTCGTTTTCATACTCGTTTTAAAGGTCATCATGTGCAGGACTTGTGGGTCAAGTGCGTCATTTTTCTTTAAAAAATTGTTTGCTAAACACACAAACAGAAATTAAAAGCGTTTCACAAAGACTTATCAAGAAAACGTAACTTTGTAAAAATTTCCTGAAAGCGTTTACCTTTGACAATCTCTCTTGACATGCGACCGATGGATTACATGACTTGAATACTTGTCAAGTATTTCATTTTTAGTCGAACGAAGGTCTTGCTTAGCGAGCATCTCCAAGTTTTCATGGAATAAAAAAGTGTTGGAAATGTTATACCATTGTTACCTACGCTGCCGAATGTGAAAAAATTTCCAAATGCAAAAGGGAAAATTAAAAGCATTTATATCAATTAATCTTATATCGGTATTGTCTATTTAAGGAGATGATCAAGTCCCCGCTAAATTAAACAAATAATATACTTTTTAGTCAAACGAAGGTCTTCCTTAGCGAGCATCTCCAAGAAAAGTTTTCATGGCATAAGTGTTGGAAATGTTATATCATTGTTACCTAGGCTACCAAATGTGAAAAATTTCCAAATGAAGAAGGGAAAATGAAAAGTATTTATATCAATGAATCCAATATAGGCTTTTACTAACAAAGGTGCAATTCCCCGCTAAATTAAACACAGCTCATGGGGAAGTACACGTATGCAAATCGACTGTCGTAGACGAAATTCAGGGAATTCAGCAGTTGTTTTCCAGCATTTATCGTTTCAAAGTTATCATGTAATTCATCAACAAGAGCACAATACAGTGGACTGGCGAACTTTTGTAAAAAAATACAGCAAAATTGAGGAGGAAAATGAAATTTTTTTCGCTATATCGTTAAAATATACAACGCAAGCTCGTAGTAATAAGAACCAGATGTTTATAGGACTTAAATACATACCGGCCTAAATGATTAATTTGAGAAAAACATTTTCTCTAGTAAAGTATGGCCTCAAAATAATCGATTTATGGTCTTGAATATTAGAGAATATGTATTATCAACAGTGCTTCTCTTAAACAGGTGACTTATCTTTGTTTCTTTGGAAGCTTTTTAACTGTCACGAATAGATTCTGAACCGGAAGTCCTCGGGATCTAGGAAAGTTTTAAGTATATCCATCAGCTAATGTTTTTCTTGCGTCGGAACTATTCTGTTGTTAAATAACGACGTCTTTTGAAGAGAAGCCTTCCGCATTATTGCTTTATATCTCTTTTGAAGAAAACGTAAAATTTACAGTTTATTCCGTAGTTAATAACTTGTAGAGTTTTTTTGTAATAAAAATCGTCACAACATTTATGACCAGTTAAATAATAATAATAATAAACCACAACCCAAAAATATTCCGTAACACAATGGAAACACACACGTTATCAAAACCACCCATTTAACAGCTGATTTGTTCTGAGTTTGAATTTTAACGACACGATGATTAAAATTCAATTGCCTGGCTACAGTGAGATCCCAAGAGTTCAGATTGTAAACAACAAGAAACATGGATATAAGAAAAAAGATTAACATTTGGCACAAGATTATCATTAATAGTAACATGTCGGATGCAGAAGTGTCGTTGCCTGGCTTTACACTTTTTTAGAAGAGATAGATTGGTAAAGAAAGGAGGCGGTGTAGCAGTGTTCGTCAGTGAGTCAATTAATGCTGTGCGCCGATCGGACCTCGAGATTGATGAATCTGTTTGGATTGAGATCTTTCTGCCCAAATCTAAAGGCTTACTGTTTGGAACATTCTATCGGCCACCATCAGAGTCAGTTAGCCAGCCTGACCTAGATTATATGGATCGCTTATACAACAGCTTGGACTATGCTACGGCTGAGGGAAAAGAAATTATTGTCAACGGGGACTTCAACTGTGATTATTTGCTTAAGAAACCAATTTCGAAACCAAAAAGTTGAAAGAGATTTGAAAATCCTTTGGTTTAACAAAGTTGATTAATGATCCAACACGGACTACGTCAACCACCGCTACACTTATTGATTTGTTTGCCACCACAAATCCACGAAACATTTCTCGAGCCGTAGTTGCTGAATCTTGTCTGAGCGATCATAATATGCTAATTTCAGTTCGAAAGATAAACAACCTCAAGGAACAACCTCGTGTGATAAAGTGCAGGAATTATACAAAATACGATCCAAAAATTTTCTGCAGTGATTTGAAGAAAGTCCCGTAGGATACTGTGTCGAGTTCGACTAACGTCGATGAAGCCTGGTCTTTGTGGAAGTACAACTTTACGGTTGAGTGTTACAAACACGCTCCACTAAACGACAAAAAAATAAGAGGTCGTAATTGTCCATGACTTACGCTGGAAATCAAACAGATGATGAGAGCTCGGGATGCCAGTCTCATGAAATTCCGTAGATCAAAATTACACACCGATTTGGCTGCATATCGACTACTCCGGAATAAAGTCAGTGCAACGCTTAAACGTGCTAAAGAAAGCTATAAAACATCATTAATCGAAGAGAATAGCAGCGATTCTGAATCTTTCTGGAGATCTGTAAAGAAAATATTGCCGGACGCGAAACTGAAATCTATGCCGACATGTATCAAAGCTGATGACAAGATTATTACTGATATACAAAGCATTTCAGAATTGTTCAACTCTTTCTTTACATCTGTTGTGAACAAGTTATTTGAATCGTGCAGGTATGCAAGACCAGTTTTTAAATCTATAACTGAGGAGTTATTTTACAAAGAAACACTTTGAGTTCACAGCAATGGGTAGGCCGTTTGTGCTTAAGCAACTTAAATGCCTAAAACTCAAGAAAGCCACTAGTCTAGACGGTCTACCAGCTCGACTTTTAAAGGACAGCGCAGTTGTGATAGCTGACTGTGTAGCGCATTTGGTAAATCTCTTCATTAAATCTGGTACGGTCCCGATCGAATGGAAGCAAGCAAAGGTTGTACCCTTGTTCAAATCTAGAAACGAAGATGATCTGGACAATTGCAGACCTATATCAATTTTACCAATCCTGTCGAAAATTCTGGAGAAAGCTGTTTTCCATCAGCTACATAGATACCTATCAGAAAACTCCCTCCTCTCGCCATATCAATCAGGTTTTCGCGCAAATCATTCAACTCAGTTGGCCATTACCTTCTTTACAGATAAAACTCGTGGACATATGGACAAAGGGCTATTGACAGGGGTAGTGTTTATCGACCTGAAAAAGGCCTTCGATACTGTTCCTCATGATGGTCTTTTAAACAAGTTGTTTAGATATGGAATTCAAGACCAGCCTCTCTCGTGGTTTGAGAGCTATCTCACTGACAGGACTCAGAGCGTGTCCATTGAAAATCACCTTTCGTCTGCCGCTAACATCAGTAGCGGAGTACCTCAAGGTTCCGTGTTAAGGCCTCTACTGTTTATTATTTACATAAACGACCTTCCTTTAGCCGTTGGTCTGACTAGTGTTATGTTGTATGCCGACGACACTGTTATCTTTTCTGCTGCTTCAAGCATTGACCAACTACAGCTGAACTTAAGTCTTGATCTCAATGTTGTCTCAAACTGGCTAACAGCGAATGGTCTCTTCCTTAACCTAAAGAAAACTGAGTAGGATGTATTTGGAACTCGGCAGAGGCTAATGAGATCTGAATCTCATAGTCCGCTCTGCATGGAAGGGAAGAAAGTTAGCCAAGTAAAGTTTTTTTCAAATATCTTGGAGTCTTACTAGATGAGTGTTTATCTTTCAACGATCACATAAATTATGTAATGTCAAAAGTTGCCAGCGGAATTGGCCTTCTGTCCCGATTACGAGGTTGTTTAACCACGGAAGCAGCAAATAAGATCTTTTTGTCCACGGTGCTACCGATATTAAGCTATTGTGATAGGTGCTTCTCCCCTTTGAGAAGCACTAACAGAAAGACTCTTGAACGCCTGCAACGACGAGCTGCGAGAATCGTATACGGTTTTAAACCTGACATAACCACGGAATCAATACTTGAGAACTTACGCTGGCCGCCTCTTATAAGAACTATGGAAAAGCACTGTGCATTGTTAGTTAACAAGTGCTTGGTTGGAGAAGTTCCGTCATACTTTAAAGACTATTTCATGTTAAGCAGCCAGAGCGACAACCAACATAGATGTACTAGATCGTCAATCACTGACATTATTCTTCCTAAATTTCATCTCATTTCATAGATGTCGCTAAAAAGTCTTTTTACTATCATGGTGCAATGACATTCAATAGT